TAAAATAAAATCTCAAAGAATGTGTGTACAAAATATCACGTTCCTTGTTAAAAATTACATGTGGATGTACTAGTGACAAGTAAAAAAAAAGTTCTTTCGATTTTAATAGTAAAAATTGACATGTTTCACAAAAATTTTTTTACATAGCTATGTCGATCGCGTGAAATCTTGACGCGATTGTTTTTTTGACAGATGACAAAACGTGAGTGATGTTGTTTGGCATGGTTCTAAAAAGAGACGTGTTAATAACTAATCAGAGGTAACTTTTTTTTAATTTGCATTGATATGTCTTTTAAATCAAAACGCAGAGCAGAGCTTTCTGGGTAATTATAAAAATCTCAAGATGGTAAACAAATGATTGGTATTTGGCTTTTCGTAATCAACATTATTTTATTAACATTAAATAATACGAAAATGTCAAGGCGATATTCGATGTTTGATTATCGGAAATTTGACAAGTGTTGAAGCATGAACGCTACCTTGAACACTTACAGTCATTCTCACATGTTCCTCGTGTACACAAGGCTAATCTGACCAAGATTTCTCTGAGATACAACGATGCAACTAAAATTCCAGGGAGGGACCACATGGCCCTGGAGTTTACCAAGACTGCATCAACCGTCAAGGACGCTCACTAATCTTTCACCAAACCAGAGAAGGCTGAGAAATTGTCTGCAACGATCCTACCTCTAAGGATGGCTCTGTGACCAAAGTATCGCAACTCTGGAGGAATATTAAGAAGATCTGCAACTCGTTTCAAGCACAGGATGTTATGGTGACCCTGAAATTGCATTTGGGCTCTGATGTTAAGAGGAAAGTTGTAAAATAGTGTTTGTTATGTATAATTATTTTCCTAAATTCTCTGTTTCTTTGATATTAACCAAATTATAATTTTGGGTGGGGACTGAATGAGGTTTTGCCCAATCAGTCCCCTGTCCTTTATTGCATGATTATATATATCTTTGTCAGCAATATGGTCAACAAGAAAAAAGCTATAAAATGTTTCAGATTTTGTTTGGTATGTTATAAATTAATCATTTTCTGTTTCTTTAATTTTTATTTGACCAACTGAATTTGTTAATTTTTAAATGAGGTAGGGTTATTGGTGAGCAGACATGCCACTGACAAGACAGCAACCCAGGACTCAAAACTCAAAATTCAGGGAAAAACCAAAACAGCAACAACCCAGGTTGCAACCTCCCGAGTTGCAGATACCAACTTTATTCTAGAGAGGTATATCACACAGATACCAACTCTTGTCAATGATCAATGCTCATATGGAAACAGCCAGCCTGGTCTGAGTGGAAGATGTGGAAGTTTTGTCCCAAGCCTTCCAACATGTGGGTTACCTAAACTGTGGAAAAAATTCTACAGTCATGAGGAGGTGTGAGAACACCTTATTCCATTTTGGTGACAGGAAATTTTTATTAAATCTGACACCTGTGATTAATATCAGATTTATTCTTCATTTTAAGAAACTATGCATTGATTCTTATTCATTCATTTATTTTTGTGAATTTCATAGACACGCATTATTGTTTTGAAATCATGTTCCTTAAAGTTTAGTTCATGCATGGTCTTGGTATTATTTATTACTTGGGTGATGCAATTGTTTGTTGTCAATTATAGCATCAAATGTATTGAATAATCATTGTGATGGATGTGAGGACAAAGGAATTCACATATGAGGAAAGGACTAAATAAGCTAAGCCATGTTTATTTTTTATCTATATAATTAATTATATTTAAAAAATTATTATTTTATTTCACCTTTGGAATGGCATTAATTTCAATAATTCTGAAATTGTTTGTTCCTTAGTGTTAATGATTGAATCAATCACACAAGTGGTAGTCAATTTAAATGACATTCATTTTTTTAAAAGAGTTTTATTTGAAATAAATGCATTTACAGATTTTCATTCTTCAATGCTGGAAGTGTATAATTTTCTCACAGGTAAAATTTTATATTAATATGATTTAAAATACTCAATATTTTTGCTAAAATATTTAATATAATTGATTTTTTTTAATAGGCAATAGTGGGGCAATTGGATCTTGGCAATTACAAGATGAACCATATCTGGCAATATTATTTATTTTATTTTCATTTATTGTTGTATATTTGATGAATTTATTCATTGGTCTTCTTAACAATCAAATTGAAAATTATAATATAAATGAAGCATTTTTGGCACAAAAGGCAAAAATCATAACAGATATTGAATTATTTTATTTACTTCCTAATCAACATCATTGGAAAGAATGGTTTCTGATATTTTGTAAATATACAATTTTATTTATCT